GGGGGGGGGGGGGGAACATATCCTAAATAAGCTACTGAACTTTACTTAACAAGAAAGAATCAAGATGGAGTCACTTACGACAAGATGGGAAAAACTCAGGCTTACCTCAGACTTCCCCACAGAAACATTCAGTGCTAGAAGACAATGAAACATACTATCAAGTACTTAAGAAAGGAAGACAGAAAAAGATCCATGAATTCGAAGCACCAGTTTAAAATGTTAAGGATCACAGATAGGATTTTAGAACATGCAAGAACTCAAGGAATGTTGTTTCTATGAACCGTTCTTAAATCATGAGGATAAACATCAAATGATGAAAAGACAAGTCATGAGTACTCTATTTAATAGGGTTAAGATTAAAACACATGAACATTATCAAATTAAAGAACATTAACTTGAAATGAAAACACAGTACTGAAGAGATATGTGCACTCTGATGTGCACTGCAGCATTATGCACAAAAGCAAATATACGGAAACAACCTAAGTTATCTATCAATGAAAGAATGGATAAAGATGTGGTGTACACACACAATATACACCTATCTACACACCCTCATACACACAATATACATACACACACACAATGGAATATTATTTCAGCCACAAGAAAATGAAACCCTACATTTCCAAGAACACAGATGGACCTTGAGGGCATTAAGCTCGGTAAAGTATGTCAAATAAAGACAAATACTGCATGGTAGAACTTACATGTGGAATCTAAAAAATAAAAATAAAAAAAAATCAAACTCTTAGAAACAAACATTAGAAAAGTGGCTTTCAAGGGGCTGGAAAGTAGAGTAACCAGGGAGAGTCTGGTAAAAGGATAAAAACGGCTGCCCTTAAGAATAGTAAAGCCTGAGGATTTAATGTGTAACATAGTGGCTATGTTTTAAATAATTACTGTGTAACTGAAAACTACTAAGAGAGTAAAACTTGAATGTTCTAAAACACCAGAAAAAAAAACAAAATCAGCCTTTATACTGAAAAAGAAAAAATTAAGTTAAATAAATCCAAACAAATCAGATGCAAAATAAATAAAAGTTGAGAGGAAAAGAGAATGAAAGAGGAATAAAATATGCCTATTCCCTTGGTTTTCTTTCCTTCAGTTATCAGGAATCAAAAGATATTTATAAAGGCAATATACTTCTACTACTTGATTTACCAGTTTGATAGCACATATAAAGAATGAAAATACAATCATAAAAACCCAGTGGTGGAATAGGAGAGAGTAATAACAAAATGCATGCAGAGTTAAATTTCATCTGTTCAAAGTTTATAACTCTAGGAACAAAGATAACACAAAAATAACCATGAAGAAAATTCAGAAACTGCTCCTATGCTGATGATCATAAACAAATGGAGAAGGAAAAAAAAAAACCTGAAGTATAATGGGATTTGGATCTAGAAAACATTAAACAAACACCAGTAAAGTACCAAAGTACAACTATTAAAACGTATCAGTGTATCCAAGAAGAATTAAGATTCACAAAACTGGGGCACTTCCGTGGCTCAGTTGGTTAAGCATCCAACTTTGGCTCAGGTCATGATCTCATGTCTCTTGAGTTTGAGCCCCGTGTTGGGCTCTGTGCTGACAGCTCAGAGCCTGGAGCCTGCTTTGGATTCTGTGTCTCCCTCTCTCTCTGCCCCTCCCCCACTTGCACACAACGTCTCTCTCTCTCTCTCTCTCTCAAAAACAAATGAACATTAAAAAAAAAGTCACAAAACTTTGCTAAGGTATATATACATAAACATTCACTGAGGCACTGCTTTTACCAACAAACTGGAAAGAGAACTACAGATAAATCAACAGAGGATGAGCTAAACTAATTATACCCACTTAACAGAATATGATGCAGCCATTTAAAAACTGAGACGGGGATGCCTGGGTGGCTGAGATGATTAAGGATCCGACTCCGTATTTTGACTCAGGTCATGAGCTCATGGTTCAGGAGATCAAGCCCCACATCGGGCTCTGCACTAACAGCTCTGAGCCTGCGTGGGATTCTCTCTCCCTCTCTCTCTCTGCCCCTCCCCCACTCATGCACAAGCATGCTTTCTCTCTCTCAAATTAAATAAACTGAAAAATAATTTTTCTAATAAATTAAAAACAAAAAACCAAGATCTGGAAGTATGTACTACTGTAGAAAGTAAAATAACAAGGTACAGAGAAAGATAAATAGAAGACTCTTTGGTTATAAATAAATACACATACATATCTACTGACATATTCAAGTTTTCTTTTCATTAAGGGATATACAAAAGAAACTTAAAATATAGAAGAAACCTGTGATTCCTACAAGAAAGCAGAAGGGGGGAGAGGGGAGGAGACACATTTTCTGTACTAACTGGGTTTTCTATTTCCATGAAAGGTCAACCAGAGAGCCCTGTTTCTGTTTCTGCACAGCCACAGAACACAGATTACCTAAAATCTCTCCAACACCCCAATACACCCTTGGAAATGCTGTATGAAATATAAAATTATAGAATAAAAGAAAACTATAAATTAAAAACAGTTTTGACTAACAATGAAACAAACTAACACTGGAACAAATTACCGGCAGATATCTGCTGAAATAAATGTAAGACGTACTTCAGCAAAAGTAAAACCAGGAGTAATATAAACTAATCAATGTGCTTTTCTAATATTATAAACCAAAAATATTGTTAACAGGGGTTATAAAGAAACATACAAAAAACAATGAAAAAACAAAAGCTCAGGGGAAATAACTGCAAAATTACTGTGCTTCAGAACTCAAACTGGAGGTGCCAGGGTGGCTCAGTTGGTTAAGCGTCCAACTGCAGCTCAGGTCATAATTTCACAGTCGAGTTCGAGCCCAGAGTTGGGCTCTGTGCTGACAGCTGAGCCTGAAGCCTGCTTTCAGATTCTGTGTCTCCTCCCCATCTCTCTGCCCCTCCTCTGCTCATGTTCTGTCTCCCTCTCTCTCTAAAAAATAAACAAATAAATAAATAAATACATACATACATAGTCCTTAGAGATGAGGCAAATCTTCTAAAAGCTCAGAAGAGCTTTATGAGGCCTAAAGAAATATTGCTCTTTGTCAACACTATATCCTCAATCAAATACCTCAGTGTCTTCTTCAACTGACATTATGTGCTGAAGAAATGGCTGTTATAATACCATTTATCAGCAGCAGCAACAAATAGCTTATAGTAGTATAAATGCTTCCATATTTAATCAGTTATGTGCGAAGATTATGGCATGACTGTAGACAGTGGCAAAGTGCCCAGCAGGCTCTGAGCAGAAAACAATTCATATTAGAGAGAAGTACTAGAGCAATCATGGAGCCCAAGAAACTAAATTTTTTAAAATCCCCCAGTTGATTCTCATGTGTAACCAAATTTTAAAACCATAAAACCACCAGACTAGATAAAACTGAAGGCCTCTCTTCCAGCTCTAAGCAGCAAATGATTCTGAAACCTCATCACATAAAACAATTTCAAATTTTCTGCTACAAAAGAGACTTAATCTTTAAACATAGTACATGATAATAAATGGGTTCAGGGGCGCCTGGGTGGCGCAGTCGGTTAAGCGTCCGACTTCAGCCAGGTCACGATCTCGCGGTCCGTGAGTTCGAGCCCCGCATCAGGCTCTGGGCTGATGGCTCAGAGCCTGGAGCCTGTTTCCGATTCTGTGTCTCCCTCTCTCTCTGCTCCTCCCCCGTTCATGCTCTGTCTCTCTCTGTCCCAAAAATAAATAAACGTTGAAAAAAAAAAAAATTTAAAAAAAAAAATAAATAAATGGGTTCAATTTTCTGAAGAGTAAACTTACAGAACTGCTAAGTTTAGAATCCAAATGAAACCAGAAACGTCTGACTAGTTTCTATAGTTGTTGAGCTGGATTGTTTTTTAACGTATTTAATTAGCATCAGCACAGTCAGTGACTTCATACATGTTCAATAAACTTTTACTGAACAGAAAAAACAAACACTGGACTTTTAGTAATCGAAACTCTACCAAAAGGATTTAAAAAGATGAATGATGATCACATTTTCACCTTTTAAAGAAATACCAGCTCTAGTATAAAAAATACCTTAGAGGAGACAAAGATTAAATAACTCCAATAAGAAGGCAGAAATCTAGGTAGATATCTATAGTGCCTTGATCTCTGGAGGTAGTCGAAGAAAGTAGATAAATGTTTACTCAATGCTTACTTTAAAAGACAAAAACAAAAAAATTAACACAATAGAAAGCAATCAGAGGTTTATTTTTAACAAATACAAAACTATGCGGCACACTGGTGTCTCAGTGTCCAATTTCAGCTCAGATCCTGATTTCACCGTTTGTGAGTTCAAGCTCTCTGCTGTCAGCACAGAGCCTACTTCTGGGATCCTAGGGATCCTCTGTCTCCCTCTCTCTCTGCCTCTCCCCCACACTCGCGTGTGCACGCACACGCTCTCTCTCTCAAAAATAAACATTAAAAAAAAATACAAAATTATTACAGATAGTTGAAAAATGAGTGACAGGAATTACCAGAAGAAATTATTTGGAGAATTAAAGAAGGGGAAAGATAAACAGTAAAGATAAGCATAAAAAGAAACCTAGCAAGCGAGAGGAAAGAAGTGGGCTTCTACATATATTCAAGCAGCTTGTCTTATAGTTAGGTATTTGACCAGTAACTATGAGAATAAATTATCACCCATTATGATTGTTCTTAAAAATTCAGTCAGCTCTAGGGGCACCTGGATGGCTCAACCCAGCTCTTGATCTCGGCTCAGGTCATGATCTCACGGTTTGTGAGATCGAGCTCCAAGTTGGGCTCTGCGCTGACAGAACAGAGCCTGCTTGGGATTCTCTTTCCTGTGTCTCTGCCTCTACCCCGCTCATGATTTCTCACTCTCGAAATAAATTTAAAAATAAAAGTACAAGTTTTTGTTCTAGGGGAGCATCATTGGCTCAGTTGGTTAAGCATCCAACGACTCTGGATTTTGGCTCAGGTCACAATCTCACAGTTCATGGGATTGAGCCCTACATCAGGCTCTGCACTAACAGCATGGAACTTGCGTGGGATTCTCTCTTTCTGCCCCTCCACTGCTCATGCACATGTGTGAATGCTCTCCCTTTCTCTCTCAAAATAAATACACTTTTTTTTTTTTTTTTACATTTATTTTTGAGAGACAGAGTGAGACAGAGCACAAGCGGGGGAGGGGCAGAGAGAGAAAGAGACACAGAATCTGAAGCAGAATCCAGGCTCTGAGCAAGCATTCAGCACAGAGCCCAAAGCAGGGCTCGAACCCATGAATCATGAGATCATGACCTGAGCCGCAGTTGGTCACTTAACCGACTAAGCCACCCAGGCGCCCCAATAAACTTTTTTTTTTTTAATTTTTATTGGTACTCCACTTAGTTAACATACAGTGCTATATTAGTGTCAGGTGTACAACATTTGATATGTGACTATTGCCAAATCCACATACCAAGAATTACCCACTGTGCTTCTCTTTTTGCCAGCAGAGTCATCTATCTTCTACTGGCAAAATTTAAACACTTTAATAACATCCAAGAATACTACTTATGTAGGCAAAACTTATTTTAGTAAGTTCTGTGGTTTTGTTTTGTTTTTTTTAACGTTTGTTTATTTTTGAGACAGAGAGAGGCAGAGCATGAACAGGGGAGGGGCAGAGAGAGAGGGAGACACAGAATCCAAAACAGGCTCCAGGCTCCGAGCTGTCAGCACAGAGCCCGACACGGGGCTCAAACTCATGGACCGTGAGATCATGACCTGAGCCGAAGTGAGCCGCTTAACCAACTGAGCCACCCAGGCGCCCGTTTTGTTTTTTTTTAAGTTCTCTTGGAAAAGGGAGATTTTTGTTTCCGATACAGTGAGTTCCAACTACCTTCTAACTCATAAACAGCAACTTAAATAGTATGTGCCTTAAAAAAAAAAAAAAATCATACTATATCTATATGAAAACCCATTTTTACCTTGCCTCATTAGCATTAATTGGTGTTCATGCCTAGCTGCTTCCATTTCTGCTTCCAGTTTCTCTTTGGCTTCTCTGATGTTTCTATCAACCTGTTCACGCTGCTGCTTTTCCATTTCGTCAAGAGCCTTCCATCGAGATGCATACTCAAATTCAAATGTCCCAGGTTGAGCAAAACGTGGTGGCTGTTCTCTTTCCCTAAGAGTTTACATTTGAAAACATACAGAAATCTATGTTTAAAAGGCAAAAAAAACAACAAATAAGAACAACAAGAACTACCATTTAGCAAGCAGTTACAATGTTCATGGCACTGTACTGGGCAAGTACTCTACATGAATTACCTCATGACAATATGGTAATTCATGTTTTAACAAGCCTGAGTTTAAGAAACTGCCCAAGGATGCCCAACTAGTAAGCATAGAACCAAGATTCAAAACTAAGCAATCTGATACTACCTGTACAAGCTGCACTCCCCTAATTATCACCTTCAATAAGGCTTTCTGGTTTTCCCTCAACAATTTTATATAAGGCAACATGCAACACAGGAATCAAATATGCCCTAAATAAATTGTCTAGAATCAAAGTTGTTCTCTGAAAGTAACTTTTAGGGCGCCTGGGTGGCTCAGTCAGTTGAGCGTCTGACTTCAGCTCAGATCATGGTCTCACAGTTCATGAGTTCGAGCCCCACATCAAGCTCTGTGCTGACAGCTCAGAGCGTGGAGCCTGCTTCAGATTCTGTACCTCTCTCTTTTCCCCCCTTTCCCCGCTCATGCTCTGCCTGTCTTTCAAAAATAAATGTTAAAAAAAAAATTTTTTTAAGTAACTTTTAGGCATAGTAATAAAAGCGAATAGTTTATTGAGTGTTATGTGCTAGATTAATTGGCTACACCAAAAAATAAAGGCCTAAACTTTTCAATTGTAGTTATTTAATACTTGTTTTTCCTTGTTAGACTATGAACTCAATGAGGATGTGAAATATGTCTGTTAAATGGTATACCTCAAATACCTAGCACGTTATCTGGCACACTGTATATATTTAGTACTTATTTCTTGAATGAATGCATAAAAGATGAGCAAATGACCAAAATAACTTTTTAAAAAAAGAATGACCTATGAATGTACCTGAAATTCAAAGAATTTTTTCAACTATTCTTGCCTATAATAGCTTCTATTAAAAAACATTGGTAAGGTGCCTGGGTTGCATAGTCAATGGAGTGTCCAACTCTTGATTTTGGCTCAGGTCACAATCTCATGGTTCTGCACTGTTAGTGCACAGCCTGCTTGGGATTCTCTCTCTCTCCATCCCTCCCTGTTCATGTGCACGCTCTCAAAATAGATTAACTTTTGAAAATAAATAAATAAAATTTAAAACACTGGTAAGAACATAATCCGTACCCCACCAATAAAAGTATAGATGTCTCAACAACAAAAAATATACATTTCCTGCAATCCTAAATTTTAACTTTCATTTTAGGGTGGGGAGGGAAAGATGGATAGGTAAGACAAATTTGGGAGATAAAGGGGGAGGTCGTCAGAGGTAAAGATGTAGTCACAAGAAACAGCTTCAAATATTTTTAGAGGCACATAAAAAAAAAACAAAGTTAACTATGATCTAGGTATTCTATACCTAAAAAATACTTTTTCTTTTTTAAACATGGACTGGGAAAGGGGAAAATTGGGGGAATCAAACATGCACTAATTTTTCTGAAAGATTTATTTATTATTCAGTAGTTCCTAGGTCACAGTTGGACTATAATTGTAAATATTAAAAATTTTAAATATTAAAATTTAAATATTAAAAATCTTAATTTTCTCCAGGGAAACACTATTGAAACAATATGGATTTGGGGAGTTAAACTAAATTTGAATCATGGCTCTTATGCTGTGAACATTCCCTTCTAAGTACAACTCTTTAGTAGTAAAACTGGAAATATAATGAGATCTTGTAAGGTTTGCTGGGTTAATTAAACCATTATATAAGCAAATTTTCCTACATGCATATAAACTCCACTTTTTGTCACACCCTTACAATTCCAGTTCTCTAAACCCTGAATCCAGAAAGTATGCTCTAGTTCAAATTTGTAATGGTAAACTATAACCAGAAAAAAAAGTCAAGCATCTAGGAAATCAGTCTTTGGGAAAAAAATCATATGAGAAATCAAATGGGTTCTGAATTATAACTGATCCTTCTCTCCTAAAATACGTTCTTCCCTTGCTTCAAGGACACACTGCTGGCTGATCCCCCTACACCAATGACTGTTCCCACTCCTGTCTTTGCTAATTCCTTCTGATATTCCAAACTTCTACATATTGGAGTATTCCAGGGCTCAATCCTTTGACACAGTTTTCTATCACACATGGTAACTTGCAGCCCAGAGAGCTCATCTAAATTCCAGATGCAAATCCAACTACTAACTTGACATCTCCACTTGGGTGTTCAAAACCATTTCAAACTTAACATGTCCAAAACAAAGTTCCTGAACTTCCTCCCCCCAAACTGCTCCTCCTACAGGATTCTACAGATCAATCATTAGCAATTTCCTTATTTCCAGTTACTTCGGCCAAAAACCATGTAATCATGCTTTTTAACTCTTTTTCTCCTACATCCATCAGCAAATTCCAAAGTCTATTTTCAAACTATATCTATCCAGAATCTGACCACTTTTCACCATCACCACTGTGAGCTCCTAACTCATTTATCTGCCCAATTCCACCCTTGGCAATCTATTCTTAAATCAATCGGTAGCCAAAAAGCTTCGGTTAAATTTAGGTTTAAGCCACTACTCTGCTCATTCCTTTCTCATACAATACAAAACGCCCAATCAGCTCAGTACCCAGCAAGACACAATAATCTGCACTCCTCCCAAGGTTTTATCTCTACCTTATCTCTCCATCCTTACTCACTATGCTCCAACTAAACGGGCTTCTCTACTGTTCCTAGAATCTCTCCAGAGTCTTCCTTCTTGGACTTTATAGTTACTATTTCCTGTGCTGAGATCACTATTCTCTATTCCATCCACGTCTGATACCTACATAGCTAGCTTCCTCCCCACCCCTTCAAGCTGTTAATCAAACGTCACCCTCTCAGGTAGGCTCCCCAACCACCTATACAAAGAGCCACACCACTCTGCTCACAGCATCCACTTTCCCCTGTCTTTCTGCCGTATTTGTTCTACTAACTTTACTGTTTACCTTCCTTACCACCCCAACACAGCCTGAATTTCTGGCCTATTTTGTTCACTGAAACATCTCCTGTGCCAGGCATGTAATAAGCACTCATATTTCTCATTTAAATCAACCATAAAGAAAAACCTTCAACTGCCCTATAATCAAAGAACACTAATTAAAGTAACATGAATAAAATACCAATTTGAACATCAGCTGTCAAATCCTAAAATCATAACATCCATTTTTTGTCATGATAAAGAAAAACACCTTTATACATACCAAAGAGTATAAATTGGTATGTTATTTCTGGAAAACCATTTGCCAGTATTAATCAATTTTAAATATGCATACCCTTTGATCTAAGCTTTTAGACCATACATATACCTATACATCGTATGTTAACCTTTAATACGGGTTTTGTAATTTTTGATTCCTTATTTCTTGTGTGACTCCACCACAAGAAATGTCAGCACCAGGAGGGCAGAAACAGTTCAGAGTTGCACTGACCGCACCTAGAACAGTGCCTAGCACAAAAGCACTCCATTATTTGCTGAATTCATGCATGCTCGTGGTTTTATCTACCATAATGAACAAGTGATTGGTTAAAAGTAATAAAATATATTCATAAAGGCAACTTATGTAAAAGTACTTCTAACATATCGAGCAAAAAGCAACTAGTACAAGAATAATACACATTTTGAAAACTGGCTATTTTTCTTTTTTACCACTAGGAGTGCTTATCTTGTGCCACATTATCTAACTAGGATCTCCCCTGCTTTACCCCCACCAAAAGTCTCCCTTTAACCTGTAATGTAACTAAAGCATACTAATTAAAAAAATATTTTCATGGTATCTAAATTATATTGTGTCTCTGTCATAATTACTGATAGTCTCCATCTAGCTACCTACTCTGGTCCCAGTTATAAAAGCAGACTTTCCTAAGTTAATGTTCTGCCCATTATATACAAGAAGAGCATTCCATGTAGACCAGGCCACTCTATTAACCAGATTATATGACTGAACAGAAAATCTTATAATCCAACAATACTTGATAATAAATGTCATGTAACATCCTTGAAAGCACATATCTAAAAATATCTTTATTAGTAAAATCTTACTTATGATATTGTTGAGTTTTCTGCATTAGCTTCTCTGGCAAGCCATCTTCATCATCAAACTGCTCCATAGGCTCCACAATGACTGGACGAGGGGTCCTGGATAAGTAAAAAGCATAAGAATTAATACAATGTCTAGAATTAATATCCTCCTAGAAATTCTTTATACTAATTCCAAGATACATGTGGCGCCTGGGTGGCTCAGTCAGTTGAGCGACCAACTTCAGCTCAGGTCATGATCTCACAGCTCATGAGTTTATGTCCCACGACAGCTCAGAGCCTGGAGCCTACATCAGATTCTGTGTCTCCCTCTCTGCCCTTCCCCTGCTCATTCTCTCTCTCAAAAATCATAAACAAACATTAAAAAATAATAATTCCTAGATACATACTTGGGAAATTTCTTGAGCAAAAGGTCTCAGAAGTTACCATATATACTCTATTTTTTTTTTTTTTTTTTTTTTTTTTTTTTTTTTTTTTAATATTTATGAGAGAGAGAGAGAGAAAGACACAGAGCACAAGCAGGGGACAGGCAGAAAGAGAATCCGAAGCAGGCTCCAGGCTCTGCGCTATCAGCACAAAGCCCAACACGGGGCTCGAACTCACAAACCGCGAGAGCAGGACCTGAGCCAAGGTGCTCCCACCCCCCCATATACTCTTAAAATTAGTCAATAAACATTTGCTGCACCAGATACAAATGAACGTTAAAGTCAAACAAAAATGAACGCTTGTTTTTAGAGCACTGCCTATTCAAAATGACAGAGGAGTAAATCAACAACTGTGAACCTACATAACCACTGTAGTTAATTTTTACACAGCACGATGGAAAAGAATGAGCACCTGATTCATATTTTATGTATGTGGAATTATTATCCCTATATCCCACCATCCCAAACTCCCATAACCAACCACCTTCCAGCCTCCCTGCGTCTAACCAGTCTTGTTCAGAAAAGTCTTTCTAAAACCTAAAATGACATCTAAAACACACTGGCCAAGCAGCCAAGCAAAAAGAGAAGGAGAGAGCCAGAAGACACAACACATTCAAGGTGGAGGTTGGGGGAAAGAGGAGACAAGAGTGGATGATCAAAGATATGACTTGTAAACCCTCCTTCTTTACTACTTTCCTAAGTAAAACAAAAGGATGGGAAAGTTCACTGAGGAAGACAAAACAGGGAAAGGAAATAGAATGGATGATATGCTGACATCAAAATTTTCCTTGCTATTAACTTTGTTTGTAAGGATTTTATAGCCAAGAGCAAGATTTAAAAACTATACCACCATGGGGCGTCTGGGTGGCGCAGTCGGTTAAGCGTCCGACTTCAGCCAGGTCACGATCTCGCGGTCCGTGAGTTCGAGCCCCGTGTCGGGCTCTGGGCTGATGGCTCAGAGCCTGGAGCCTGTTTCCGATTCTGTGTCTCCCTCTCTCTCTGCCCCTCCCCCGTTCATGCTCTGTCTCTCTCTGTCCCAAAAATAAATTAAAATCGTTGAAAAAAAAATTTTTTTTTTAAATAAAAACTATACCACCAAAAGTACCCATGTGTGTTTGGTACAAACATTTTCTTGTAGCTTTGACTGGACTCATTTCTTGTAGCTTTGACTGGACTCATTTCTAAAATGATCCAGGGGCGCCTGGGTGGCGCAGTCGGTTAAGCGTCCGACTTCAGCCAGGTCACGATCTCGCGGTCCGTGAGTTCGAGCCCCGCGTCAGGCTCTGGGCTGCTGGCTCAGAGCCTGGAGCCTGTTTCTGATTCTGTGTCTCCCTCTCTCTCTGCCCCTCCCCCGTTCATGCTCTGTCTCTCTCTGTCCCAAAAAAATAAACAAACATTAAAAAAAATAAAAAAAAAATTAAAAAAAAAAAAATAAAATGATCCAACAGTATTTTTACCATTTTTTCCAAATTAGCAAATACCAGGACTGATGTGTTTTCAGTGATAACTGAATGCACTGGATTCATTTTTGTTAAAGTCGATTTGATGGCCTGTCCAAGGAATGGATTACAGATGATCAGCTGGATGAGAAGCACCCTAAGGATTTATAGATCCTGTCAAACTGTTGGTGATGACATCATCATTGGCACACCTGAAATGTTATCACTGCTACCATCACAGTCCCCTACATGTCATCTCTAATAATATCTCTGGAGGGCCTGGCTGCCTAATCCAGTAGAGAAGAGGCTTTGGTTCTTCCAGCTCCTGCCTCCCAATTATCACACTCAAAATATAGCATATTCATTTGACAGGATTGAACCATCATCTGTACATGAAGATCCACATCAATCTTTCTTATGATCAGTGCCTTCTACTGATAACAGAGCACCTCCTCTGGTACTTGCAGATGTTTTGTTGATTATGCTCACCTTTTGGAACTATGTAGGCCTAACCACAAATAAAAAATCTTTGCCTAAGTCTAAAAAAAAAAAAAAGAAAGAAAGAAATTTTGTTCTTATCAGTCTCTTACCATGTAAGTAATAGTAAAATCTATACTGCCTTCAGAAAAAAACAAATCACTTAACTTTTGCAGCTTTAACGTAAGAACTAAGAAGTAAAGGGACTTTCTGGATTCTAAAAGCTTCCCTTTACAAATAAAGATCCTGAGAGTAACAAAGACTTCAAATTCTAAACTGTTATTAAAAACGATTATTAAAAATGATTCCTGGGGAGCACCAAGCTGGCTCAGTTGGTGGAGCATGCAACTCTGGTTGCAGGTTGTGAGTTTTGAGCCTTACACTGGGTGTAGAGATTACTTAAAATCTCTATTTAAAAAAATTATTCCGGGACTAATGAAGACATTTTAGACAGAATAAGAAATAGAAGCAAGCGTGGAATACCTTGGGGTGACAATGAGATTATAGAAACCGCAGATAAATTAAGTGGGAACCCAAAAGAAAAGAGCCTTACAGGCCTCAATTTTAAGGGTGAGACCTCATATCTAACATCTAAAAGCAGAAGTGTAATAAAGAATGAGTTGGGGGACCTGGGTGGCTCAGTTAGTTAACGTCCAACTTCAGCTCAGGTCACGATCTCGCGATTCGTAAGTTCGAGCCACATGTTGGGCTCTGTGCTGACCACTCAAGAGCCTGGAGCCTGCTTCAGAATCTGTGTCTCCCCTTTCTCTGCCCCCTCCTGCTCACACTCTGTCTCTCTCTCGGTCTCTAACAAACAAATAAATGAGTAAATACAGGGGCGCCTAGGTGGCTGTCTGTTAAATGTCTGACTTAATCTCAGCCCAGGTCTTGACCTCAGGGTTGTGGGTTCAAGTCCCACACTGGCCTTCACACTGGGGCTACTTTATTTTTTTTATTTATTTTTTTTATTTTTTTTTTCAACATTTATTTATTTTTGGGACAGAGAGAGACAGAGCATGAACAGGGGAGGGGCGGAAAGAGAGGGAGACACAGAATCGGAAACAGGCTCCAGGCTCTGAGCCATCAGCAGAGCCTGACGCGGGGCTCGAACTCACGGACCGCGAGATCGTGACCTGGCTGAAGTCGGACGCTTAACCAACTGCGCCACCCAGGCGCCCCTGGAGCTA